AGAGAGTTCCAATGCTGCTTCTTCCTCAGGGATGTGTTCTGGGTCTGTATCCTGCTCCCTTGTTTCTATCACTTTATCCTGCTTCTTTGTGTGGACTGTGATGGTCTGTTGTCTCTGAGATATCGTGGTGTTATTATATTTAGATCTCTGTTAACTGCTTGTGAAGAGCAGCCAAGGGTGAGTCAGGCTCTTCTTTGGTGGTTGTTTATCGTTGGCCCATTGGTGAGAAGGAAGTGGTGGCTCTCACTCAGTAAGTGAAACTGCAGGACGTGTGGGTGTAGGTGTGTCATATGGGGACTGTTGCTGTCTTCCAGTCAGTTAGACAAAAATAACAATTGAATAACCAACACAAAAGTAAAAGCAAATGGACAAAAGACACTGTATAATCACATAGGAACAGCAACCAAAAAAAGAAAAAAGGGGGGGGAAACAAACCTGCAATATCTGGGGAGCTTGCAATAAGATAAAAAAGGTAGAGGAGAATAATGAAGAAAAAAATGGGAAAAATGCAAAAAGAAAAGCAAGGAACGGAGTTAACCTGGAGAAAGAAAACAAAAATTGGAACCAAGAACAGGGAAAAGAATAAAAGCTGAAAACTAGATCCTGGGAGGGGAAGAATAAAGAATAATAGTAAAAAGGACAAAAGTAATAATAATAGTAGTAGTTTTAAAACAGACAAAAAGAAACAAACTGAAAAATGGAAAAAAGAAAAAAAAAAAAATATATAGGGGAAGGGCAGGGCAGGGCAGGGCACCCAGGCTCTGTCCAAGGACGCAGACTGCGATGAAATTCCTGCCAGCCCAGAAGGTGGGTAGGAGTGAGGGATGGCCGCATCTCCGTTCACCAAGAGGGTGTGGTGTATAAAAGTAAGAAGGGGAATGTTGTACCTTTCCAGTCATCTGTGTCTAGAATGTCCTTGGGGTTTCCAGCAAGTGGAGCCTGTTCTTAAATCCCTGGAATCTGGGAGAATGCTGTTACTTTAAATATCGAAAATGGTGGAGCCACTTGTAAACATTCAAAATGGCTGCACCCTCTACACAGGCAAAAATCTACACCTCAGCCCGCCTTCCTCTTTGCTGTTTCTCCTTTTATTCCCCAGCCACCAGAGCAGTCCTCTGTGCAGTCCCTGGCTAGCAGGGCTGAATTTTAGGTTAATCCTTAGGTCCTACCACCACTTGGCAATATCCAAGCTGTCTGTGCTTTCAGGATCCCTGCCAGACTACAGCTCCGTATGTCTCCTTTTTTGGTATTTTCATGCAAGTTCTTCTGATAGTTGGAGTTTATTCCACTTCTATATCCTTCCCTTCAAGGCTCAGGGGTGCAGGATTATCTTTTATATCTGTGTTAATTGGTTCCCCTTTTCTTCGTTGAAGAGGGTCTGTACAGTCTTTTTGCCTATTCTGCCATCTTACCAGAACTCAGTGTACAAAAATCTTATGTAGTCCCTTGTGTATCTACTCTATTTCATAATAAAAAAGGAAAATACAAAAAGGCATACTGGTCTGATACACATGTACACACATCACATTCTTGAGGCAAACACAAGTGCAGAGTGGTTCTCACTGAAGTCTGGGAATGGGCCAGAGATTTTTCACTTCACAGCTCTGTAGCGTTTTATTTGTGAATGTGCATTGATTTCATCACTGGAAAAAGAATTGAGGCCAAAGTAGTATTCTGAGTTTTTTCTGTGATTCATCTTCCTCCAACTCCCTCTCACAGACTAGGAAACCTTTATTAGCATCATTTTGATCCTTTTAGTTTTTTAAAATTTAATTTTTAACGTAAGTTGGTATAGGAATTTTATGGTCATTAACTCTTGTGCTCCAGCTTCGCAAGTCACAAGCTTTGAGGTCGATCAGTCTGTGTTTGAAATTCCTGAATCATACCACATCCAGGACAACGGCAGAAATGTGCATTTGCAAGATGAAGACTATGAGCTGATGCAGTTTGCCATCCAGCAGAGCTTGCTGGAAGCCAACAGTAGCCAGGTACTTGTACTGGAAACAACCTGAATACAGGCTTGGGGGGTTTTACCCTCAGGCTTTGGCAGAAAGATTTAATGATTTTATCTCAGTAACAAGTTTGAAATACTCTGTATTTATACAGGTTATCTTTTTTGTGTCCACCTGGTCTTTTGCAAAAAATTAGTGAAAGACAATCTGCACAGCACAAGTTTACCCCACAGGCGTTTCCACATATTCATCTGGTTTGTTAACAGTCATGTATTTTTCAAAGCATGCCTTATGGTTTTCTAGCTCTGAAACTGTTATGTTCACGTAAGGTTCATCATCTTGCAGCATTACATGTCACTTGTCCCACATGGTGGTAACAATGTGGATTTTAATCCCAACTCCCAATACTGAATTCATCAGTAAGTATGTGATGAAAATGGCTATTGATGTTTTGTCCTGTGCTAAGAAGTATTATCTCCTAAAACTCTGAACCTCTGGTCAGAAGGAAAGCTCAGGACAGGGCAGACTGGCTACAAAGTTTCCACTTTGTCCTCTTCAGGCCTCACCTGCTTGGGAACAGTCCAGGGCTTGAGGGAGGAAGACATGGCAGTCAGCTTCTGTACCGTTCTGCAGCCTTGGAAACCCTATAGGGTAGTTTTTCTCTGTCCTATAGGCTCACTATGAGTCAAACTGACTCAATGGCAGAGTTTGCTTTTTGGTTGCTTTGTACCTGGCATTGGGAATTTGCCCTCATGAGCCTGTGTTGTGGACAGTATCCATGCTCCAGCATCCCCACTGGCTCAGGCTGTTGGTGTTCTAGTTTTGTACTTGAGTCTCTGGGACTCAGATTTGAGGACCACTCCCCCACTGCACCCATTCCTAGGCCCCAACGCAGGCATATACTGTATGGGAGGGCTCCTGGGGAAGAGCCAGTGCGTGGACGTCACTGCCAGCCCAGTCCGCTTCTCTGCTCTGTGCAGGTGAGCTTATTTACCCCTAATACGTACATAACTCTTGTTTATATATCGTCACTTAGGTGACCAGACCCAGAAACACAGCAGATAGGGTATTACGTACTCTTAATTTTGCTCTAAATGAATTACTGCATTGTTAGTTTGAAATGGGCTCAAAGTTAGCTGTTCATAATAGACTGATTTTGTGTAAAATCTGAAACGGGCGTGGCTGTTCATCAGGGTAGCATCCCATATATCACATGACATCAGGTGGGGTTGGAGAGGTAGGAGGTCCTGGGTGGTGCAAATGGTGACTACGCTCAGCCACTAATTGAGAGGTGGGAGGTTGGGGTCTAGCCTGAGAAACCTGGGAAGGAAAACCTGGTGAGCGACTTGCAGAAATCAGCTGTTGAAATCTCTATGAAGCAGTTACACTTGGACACAACAGGGCTGTCATTAGTTGGAACTGACTAGATGACAAATGCTTTTTGGTTAGAGAGGGAGCCCAGATCCCCACCTTTCTTTCTTACAGCACTATCAATAATATCTATGTAAGTATTTTTTTTGTGCTCGCTGACACCTGTTCCTTCTGAGTATTTAAGTCTATCATGTTTGATTTTTCCTAGGAAGTCTCAGGACCAGCTTCAAATGGAGGGATTGGCCAGACACAATCCTATGATGCCCAGTATGAAAGGTGATGGACTGGACTCTGGATGACGAAAGCGAGACTAGGGGGCCCTCAGTGCATGGCCAGTGCCTGGCAGGAGACACTCCATCACGTGCTAGCTCTCAGCTTCCTCCTGCGGCATTTCACCTTAAAATGTCTAAATGCTCGACAGTAGAGTTTCCAGGAATGGAAATTGCTGAATTCCATGTCAGGGAGTCAGCCCTGAGTGGTACAATTGGTAAATGTGTCTGACTGCTAACCAAAAGGTCAGTGGTTCAAGTCTACTCAGAGACACCTTGGAAGGCAGTCCTGGCAATCTGCTTCTGAAAAACAATGCATTGGAAACCCTGTGAAGCACAGTTCTATTCTGACACATGGGGTCACCTTGAATCACAATCAACTTGATGGTAGCTGTTTGTTTTAATCAATGTCATTGTCACTGCAGAAAGGCACTGGGAGCAGGTTCTGATAGGTTTGCTCTTCATGAGGAATGTAAAATCACACAGTCTAGTGCCCTTGGTGGGAAGTGTATAGTTTTTTGGGTTGCTAACACTTTCGTTTTTTTGAGTGGGAAAAACTAAGATTCATTTGACAAAGTGTACTTCAGGCACATACAGGAGCCTGGGTTTTGCTTTAAAGTAGCTCCAGTCATTACCCCATCACTTAGTAGCCGGGTGATGTTGGGAGCAGGTCTTTAACCTGGGCCTTGGGTTTCTCACCTGCATACAGCATGAACACCTCGGGGTATGTGGGATTGAAGGACTGAGGCATTGATAGTGCTTAGAAAGCAGTTAGGGAGTGTGGTTGGTGCTGCTGCTTTGGCGACAGTGACGAATGGCTCTTTTCCCACCCAGGGCCATCCAGGAGAGCCTCCTCACCAGCTCTGAAGGCCTGTGTCCTGGCACCCCAAGTGAGACCAGCCGTTTCGACAGTGACTTGCAGCTGGCCATGGAGCTCTCTGCCAAAGAGCTGGAAGAGCGGGAGCTCCGGCTCCAGGAGGAGGAGGCAGAGCTGCAGCAGGTCTTACAGCTGTCACTCACTGAGAAATAGGCCTCTCCATCCCCGGCTGCACTAAGCAGCCACACCAACTCTGGGCTGCACCACAAGCACTGCATCCTCCGGGGCCAGGAGGCCAGAGAGCTGCACCTCTTGTGTGCTCTGGAGAAGGTGGCCCTGCCCCATTCCTTATGCAGAAGTGCAGGGTCAGGGCCTCCTGGCCCCACTGTGACTCTCCCCAGGGAAGAAGGGGCTGGGCACTGGCAGGTCCCACCTCCAGACTAAGGGGAGGAGGTGTCGTCACTTCCATAAACTGTATTGGGTTGCAGGTCACAGTTTTACTACCAGCTTTAGACAAAAACCCCAAACTTTGCAGGTTTGTAGATTAATTTTTATCAAGGAGGGATAACAAAGTTATTGAACAGTCAGGGTGCTTTTATATATGGGAGCAGCAGTGGCCTTTGTAGAGTGTAGTTTATGAAAATTCATCAGACACTTTACTTCACCAAAGAAATGGGTCACCTGTCTGACATTTTGACTTCATACAGGGTTTCTAGAGCATTGTCACTAGTCTCCTCCATTGTCACCTTCTTCCAGTCCTTCTACCCCCAGCTACAATTAGAGGAGATATGTACAGGATCTATTTTAGATTTACAGTCAGCTGTTTGCCTTAGCCTTAACAATAATTAATCATCTAAACCCCCCTCTCTCCATGCACTGAGGGTCTGATGTGAATTTGTTGAGAGCAGGATCGTCCATGCTGAATCGAAGGCAGCTAAACTTGTCCCTGAAGGAACAGCTCAGGGAACTGGAAACTGTCCTGGAAGTGTGGCAGATGGCCAAAACAGCTGAATAGCATAGAACCAAACCGTGGGTGTTTCCCAGAGCTTCTCTAGCAAAGGATTTCCAAATAGACCCCTACGAACAACCCACCATATTCCCTGGGCTTGCTGGAGAGAAGGGAGCTTCACACCGAAGTACAGAGGCTCTCATCAAAAGGCAAAATGCTGACTCCATGTTGCTTTTCACAGTTGAAATCAACATCTTTCTGGATAAATCTATTTTTTAACAGAATCTTTTTATTATTTTTAGAAGATGTGAAAACGACTACTCCTATCAGTAGCAATACAAGGTCATACATTTTAACCAGATTTTCTCAGGCCTTTTTTGGATACCTTCAGTAGTGACTCTTGGCTAACCCTTCTGTGAATAACCATCACACAGCATGCAGAACCTGGTGGGGTACGGCTGAGTGCACCCCGTGCTCTGGCCCATGCATTCATTCCCACAGGCTGCACTGAAGTAACCTGGTCAACATCCTCCTGTGTTTCGTGTGTTTCCCATCTTATGCTTCTTTTGGGATGGAAAGAGGAACACACTACTGTTCAGTGAACATCTGTATCACAAAGTTAGGGTTGCCAGTAAAATGTTCTTTGTCACAAAGAACTATGCTTTTAATTCCATATAGTCATCTGCCTCTTTGGCCATGATCTCACCAAAATTTCTTCTCTGCACATGAGGCCAGTATACACAACACCATTTATTTAAGATATTCAGCTTGGCGTTTTGTTTACTTCTGTCCGCCTTGGGCGAAGACTCTTCTTGAGGCTGAGAGCTGTGTGGTTCACTCCCTGAGGGGAATGAGAGGGAACTTTTAGGTCTACATTCCATTGTTCTGCTTCCTGAGACATGCTTGACTTTCTCCCCAGACAGTTGGTTAAGAAGGGACTGAGCACTGTGTCAGCCTGTCACAGTGTTTTACATCCATGTTCACTCTTGTAAAATGCAAATAAAGACCGCTTCCTTTGAGGTGCTCAAATAGTAGTCTACACGAGTCATTTTATCAAACCACGTTTTCTAGTCCTCTGTTCTAATGTGAGAGTGTCATTGGGGCATCAGAATGGTGTCATAGCAATCAGAGGCATATTGCAGAGGTGACATGCTCCTTCCAGCCCAAGTTACACTGTTCACATGCCCCATGCTACTCGGTGTTGGGGCTGCTCTGACCCACCTCTGCAGCCCCCCTGGAAGCGGGCTGGTTCATTACCCAGTGAATACTTGCTCTTAGAAGCCTAAGTGCTTTGTGAGACCGTTCTTAAAGTTCAGAACATGCTTATGGCTTCCAGAGTTATCCTATACCTAACAATGCTGCTATGAAAACGAAAAGGCTGTGGCCAGTAAGAACGTTTGGGTACCAGAAGTGAGGCCTTGCTATTTCTGATAAGATGTGGAGGAGCTGCTTCACTTCTGGGAAAAGTAAGTACCAACTTTCAGCCACCAAAGCAGTCTGAAGCAAGTGGTCACCTTTCCTGGGTCACAAGGTACAATGCCTGTGGATTTTTTAATTTATACAAGTGCCTTAATCTTTAGGTTCATTAAGGCTTCAGTGGTCCAATATCAGTTTGTTGTTGTTGTTGTTATGTGCCGTTGAGTCGGACCCGACTCATAGCGACCCCTCCTTGGGTTTCTGAGGCAGTATCACTACAGAAGTAGATTGCCCCATCTTCCTTCCGAGGAGTGGCTGGTGGGTTTGAACCGCCAGCCTTCTGGTTAGCAGTCAAGTGCCTTAGCCACTGTGCTACCAGAGCTCCCCCAATATCAGTAGCAAACTTCAAATGATCAATTTCTGCAAGTAAGACAAGTAAGACACTGCTGGGAACCAAGTATAACAAAGTTCCTAAGACACTTAGAGGCTGTCACACCATACATTATAGCATCAGGTGCTGAGGACATGGGAAAGTCGGCTCTAAGTAATGACAGAAAAGGGAAAGAATCACCACAATCACCAGCTTGTTGACCAGGCTCCAGCTAAACAGATGACACCAAGGAAGACAATGGGACTATGGAAACTTCAAATGACTGCAGCAGAGTAAGTGATGGAGTTCAAAGTCCACAGTAGACCTGTCTAGACATGGAAAGGTTTAAGATTCAGGGCCAGCTGGAAACATACTGATAAGCTACCACGACTCAAGGGCATCTCAATCTCAAGTACTGGTAGGCGTCTTAATCTCAACATGGAAGAAAGCTCAGATTAGCATTTGCTGAACTTGTTTTTCTCTGATTGGTCTAAGTAGATCAGATGGTTCATTTGGGTATGGCAGAGATTCTGTGTACAGTTGGTGAGGTCTAGAGTTTGGCTGTCAGACCCTCCCCCAAAAAGATGAAGGTCATCCTCACAGAATTGCCAATTTTGTCTTTACTCATCCTTTTGTAATAGGTCTCTTCACACAAAGATCATTCTTTGTCTTTAACTTGAAAACTCTCCTACTGAACTGATGGTAAAATTGGAATGAGGATGTCAACTGGGTTTTGGATCTGTATGCAGAATAGCAGTGTTGCCAGGCAGGGCCAGCAAACTGGAACATGATCAAAACATCCAGCTGTGAGCAAACAGCAGCTCACGAGGTGGATGGGCTTGGTATGTGTTTACTGTTTCCTGCTTAAGTTCTAAAAATGGCAATAAATATTGGGGCAGTGTATCAAAACGAGGATTCCTGCTATTGCAGTGGCTTTGGCATTTGCTAACCGAAGGGTTGCCAGTTTGAACCCACTAGCCACCGTGCAGGACAAAAAAAAAAAAAATCTTCCACAAAGATTTACAGCCTTGGGAACCCAATGGGGCAGTTCTAATCTGTCCTATAGGGTTGCTATGAGTCACAATCAACTTGATGGCAGTGGCTTTCAAAGCACAAGATTCTAGATGAGGCGGGATGGCCACCCCTGGGACTTAACTCCTTCATGGCCCAGTGTCTCTCAGTATCCCACCACTCTTCACCCCTCCAATAGCTGAACTTCTATGGGACAGGCCAACTGTGGCAATCCCACCTTCCACTTGTATTTTCATATCATTTGATCTTCACAATAATTAAGACAAAGTGTACTTTACCACTTTACAATGGGAAAACAGGCTTCTGGAGAAGTAAGCCTGCTTGGAACTGAAGTTGGGACAAGATTCCAGGTTCTCTTAACTCCTTCCCAGCCTGAGTTAATTAAAGGTGTTTTCTTATCTTAGGGTAATACTGTCATAGAATGTAGAGATGCACTTCACAGTGCAGGCTTAAGAGATTAGATCAAACATACAACTGCATTTTATACTCTTGGAAAATAAATTTGGTTAGATGTCATCAAGTCAACTGTAATGCACGGTGGCCTTAGGTACAACAGAGTAAAACGTTTCCCAGTCCTGCTTCATCCTCAAAATTGCCAGCATGTTCAAGTCCACTGTTGGAGCCACTGTGCCAATCCATCTCACCAAGGCTCTCCCTCATCCTTTTTGGTCGTCTACCTCCCCAATTATGGCGACCCCCTCCAATCATTTCCTGATCATGTATCCAAAGCAAGTGAGTTGGATAATGGTCTGTGTGATCCCAAAGGTTATTACTTGCTGAGTTTCAAAACTAGATTATGAAGCCTTTTTCCTAGTGCTAGTCTGGAAACTCCACTGAAACTTCCCACCAGGGCGACCCTGTTGATATTTGAAGGACCAGTGGCATACTTTCCAGTAGCACAGCAACAAACCATTACAGTGCAACAATCTGACAGACATGGTGGAAATAACTGCTAGGAGTGAAATGTTATGGAGGGGTTTAATTTCAGTTGACATTTTACTCAAGAGCATGGAACAGTGAACATTTCTGTGGCTCAGTGTTACAAGATTAGAAACAAAACATTTAAGTCCCACATCAGTCATTTCACATTAAGAACAGATTTAAAAAAAAAAAAAAAAGGTAATGTGTTTGAATGGAAGGAGCCCTGACTAAGCAGTGGTTAAGCACTCGGCTGCCAACAAAAAGGTTGGTGGCTCAAACCCACCAGCTGCTCTGCAGGGTAAAGATGAGGCAATTCGTGTCCACAAAGATTTACAGCCTTGCAAACCCTACATGGCAGTTTTATGCTGTCCTATATGGTTGCCATGACTCAAAATTGGACTTGACCGCAATTGACTTGGTGCTGGACTAGAGCACAAGATAATTCATAACACAATTAAATGGAGCACCTTGAAAATAAACACTGATAACCACTTTGTAAGTACAGAAGTATTTCAACCAGGGATGTGGCATCCCATTCAACAGAACAAACAGCAGCATTTTCCAAGCTTAGATCACGTGTGTAAACGCACACCCACCTGCCACCCGATCTTGCACTTCCATGGTTCAGTGCCCCCCACCAGGGCTCAAAGGAGCACCTGCTGAGTGTCCTCAAGGTCATAAGCCTGAACTGTGATCCCGATTTTCAGGCCATGGGCTGGAAAAATGAAAGTGCGGTACAAGGCAGATCAGTATGTTTGAACAGGGTGGGGCTAACAGCTCACATTTCATGTCCAACACCCATCTGACAGTGACCCTCTGACATCCACGAGAGGCAGCTGAGACATGGCTTTGCACACACAGCCTTCTGGGTCAACTGAGTAGAAGTAGAAACATTTGTGATTCTTGCCCCATTATGACTGAATGGTGCTTAAGTAGGGAATTTTTACATGTTAAGTCTTCCCATTAATATTTCCAAACATTAATGATTAATCCTTTCTGATGTTTCTAATACAAAAGTACCAGGTTGTCTTCCATGTGAGCACTCAGTTTTGAAACTGGAGTTTCAGGCCATGCTTTTCACAAGTATACATATAGATACACACATATATATATAAAACATGGAAAAACAGACAGACCAAT